CATGTGTTACTGTTAAGGCACTACTACGCTAATATCGAGATGTTCATCTGTGTATCTTAACATTACTGTTATGTTATGTGGCAATGTGGTGAAGTTTCGTATTAGACTATATCACGGAGCTACCTTCTTTTTTATCGCCATTAGTATATTTAGTTTCAACAAAACTTATTTCAAATTTGACGTGTATTAGTTTGGTGCAATCATTGCAAATACACATATACAATTATTATGTGGTTATCTGTATTAGTCGGTCATCACCTGGCGAATGCGCATGCGAGAAAATCATAGACCCTGAAAAAATCTATGGTGAAAAATAATTAATTTTGTTGTTGTATTAAGTAGGGACTTACGAACAGACTTCCCAACTAGCACCCCTAGTAAAATAACAACAGCAGCAGTAATATATTTAAAAATAGAGCATAATCTTGCTTTACAATACAACAAATGGCTTATCTCACCTGTAGGCTGTATTAACCAATGCTGCGTTTTGGATACCTTCTTGCGTCTGTATTTGTTGTCAATAATATAGACCAATAAAACGAGAACGGGGTACAGAGTCAAAGTTAGAAACGCCTCCCAGAGTTCAATGACCTGGGGTGAGATTACTGTTAAACTAATAAAAACCCACAAATATGCAAATAGTGAGAAAACCAATACTAATATGAAATAGGGTTTAGCTTTCTTAATGTATCGTGTCTTTGGTGACGGTATGACCATGATACAAACACCTGTTATGAAGAGAAGACTAAACGCGGACGATCCCACGATGGTCGCTGTTCCGAGTTCTCCTGAGTAGAATTCACTAGCTATTATCTCAATCGTGGCTAGCATTATTTTGGGTATTGCGGTTCCAAAGGCGATTAACGTCATATTGGCGACAGCGCCGTTCCAGTATGGTATTTGGACTTTCTTAAACTTGCCGGGGTTATCCGGGTCTGCTTTTAGTTCAGTTTTTGATATGCTTGTTATCACCTCTATCGCGGCGAGGGGGACTTCCACGATGATGGCGATGCCGACCAGACACCACAGTAATCCGACGAAATATAAAATGAGTCGCAAAGGTATTGACAATCCTGATTCGTCAATCAGTGGAAGAATCCAGCCGTCTTCCAGGCAGTTTGGCATGGTGAATGTTTACTATTGAGTTACGACCAGGCTCGGTTTTACACCTTATTAAATTACCCACGCAACGGAAATGTCTTGGAGCTTGAGGTACAGAAGTAAGCATAGGTCTTCATTCCATTTTGTTAATGGAAACGTCAGTAAGGCCCGGGAATGTGTAGTTCACCAATGATTTCCGCTCAATTCAGTAAATATTTGTAGTGTGGACTAGCGCGGACGAGACTCGCGTTACAACAGTGCAATGTCTTCAACCTGTTGGATTTCGCAATAAAACATATCCCTTTAACACGAGGGTCGTTACCATGGGGAAAGTTGTAAATCCTTTTACTCAACAAAACATTTGCATATCTCCAACAATGACGTCGTTAAAGAAGAATAGATATAAATAACTATGAACAACAACGAAATTACGTAACGATTGTTGATACCATTATAAGCCGCAATTGCGGGAAATCAAATCGATCTGTTCCGCAATACAATGCAACTAAACATATCTGCTGTGCAATACATAATTACACTCAGTAGTTAGTCGGCAGACATTCTATAAAACGCTTAAATATTTATTTAATGTTACAGATTCACAATATTTGTGTGTGTCCTTTGGGTCGAGTGTAATAAGACTTACATGCGAACTCATAACTAGGGGTTCCGGGGCATGCTCCCCCTTAACAAATTTGAAATCTAGACCCCCTGAAACGCTATGTCCTGCATTTTGTGGGGCAAATTTTGCTGACACAAATTGTTTCAGCTTGATTGTTTTCCTCTACCCCCCCCCCCGTGCCGCAGCCACTGACCCATAAGTCGATGCGTTTTAGTGTGGTTGTTATTGTCGCTTGCGACTCAGTTCCCGCGTTCCAGTGTGACCCCTTCGCTTTAAATATATATTAAAGCGAATAACTTCCCATTTTCAATTGAATCCTCGCGAACTAATACATAATCACAGACACTATAGACAATGTAGAATAAATATACTGACAAATGACATATAACAAGTTTTTTCTCTTGACAGACACATGAGACACTTACCATACAGACTCGGTACGTATAAGCACTGGTACTTGGTATAAGTTTCCAGCAGAAATGTGTATTCTCTAAACACCCTCCACCACTTGCAGCGATTTTTAGAGTTTTTTTAATGTTTATGTAACAGTTTTATGCTTAACCAAACAAACGGATATGAATTGTCTCTCTTCGCTCTGACCATTCATCACAATTAATTAACATTAATTTTTTTCAATGATTGGTGTGCACTTGCCTTGTTAAAAGACCATCTATGATAGAGGGGTTGTGCCCCGTTATATGATAATTTAACTTATCCACTGCACTGCACTGTACATGAAGCGACGAACCGATAATTTTAGCCCGAGGTGGCCAACGAGGTTTTTTACGATTTAAATAAATTTTATCATTTTATTTGTATTTTCTTTTTCCATTCTTGGAAACTATGGGCCTATCTAGGTCGACGGTGGGTATGGGAGAAAGTTAGTCTAATAGGTAAACCATTTGGGGCAAATTAGGGTCTCCATTTCAACTAATTGTCCGAGAAATGTGTCATCTCTTGGTATATTCTTTTTAAAACGATGTGTCATAGTCAGAAGTATATTGGAACAAGTAATTCTAACGCTTCTTCCAGTAAAAAAAAAAATCGGCAGAAACGTGTGTTCAGTGTTAAACATACTCCATCCCTTTCAGCAATCCAGCAAAGAGGATTTGTAAGAAAATCACCCATTTGACTACCTACCTCGAAAACCCAGATATGGTCATCAAACTACTCACAAAACACAGGTAGAACCTCCATGGAATTAGTTCTCACCATATCCAGTGGCGGATCTGGGAGGGAGAAACCGGGACCCCCCCCCAGTTGAAAAATGCATTCAATTTGTTTATGCATAATATAAAAAAATCATTAAGCTAGTCTGGCGATTTTAAAGTTTGCCCCCCCCCCCCATACACAAAATCCTGTATCCGCCCCTGATATCTTAAGATTTCGTTTAGTTACGTATGGTAAATCATAAATAATTACAAGATAATCATGGTTATCACAATTTATTAGGACTTCGTGATGATTACTTTAACTTCACACAAATATTTCATACTCGGATAAAAACCCGAAAAGTTAATTACATTATTAAGTTGAATAGCTGACAAATACTATATTACAAAAAAAAAATAACTTTCGTCAAAAACGTACCCAATGAAATTTTCTGAATCTTATAAGATTTCTTATTGTCAGAATGGTCGTGATTTGTTCGATGGAATCAAGTTGAACGTGGTAGTATGACGCCCACCCCACCCGACAGTGATTGTTACGTGGTTTCCTAGACTAGTGGTTTCCATGTAAGATATCATATGTTCTAAGTCATTCTGTTTCAGTCTTGCATGTGTGCACATGGCTGACATCAGGGACATGGAACATACGCGTAGTTCACTGACCTTCTGGTATTTGAATAATTTATTCATTATATACTACTTTGTGGTTCATTTCGTTTTTGTGGTATTAGTTCAATAAACATTAAACTTCAATTCGTCTGTGTTGTTCTCGGTGCCAGTACATTTGCATAAAAAATCCCAAGTAGTCTACGCAGCCCCAGACTATACAGGTATTAATGAAACCATGACCAGTTGTATGACTCTTGAGCTATATCTATACAATGGAATGAATTTAACGTCATCCGTGTCTTGAGGAGAGCTTCTCATTTAGTGCATTCTGACGCGGAGATCTACGCATTCAGTTGGTTAGTGTGCAATTTTTGGATATTTCCATAAAACATAAACTGGAAAAATAGATTCCGAGGGCGAGTGAGGTGTAAAGTTATATTTCGTCTATGAATAAGAAAGAATGTGACATTCATGGTATATGAGATCATACATGTAACAGTTGCAGTGTTATTATATTTCTCACAAACTCGCCTGCTGGAACAAGAACTAGAAATTGTTGTTCACTGAAGTAGACATGGATTAGTTAATACCTGTTTATTGTTTTTAAAGGGGCACCTTCGCAGTTAAGCCTAATCTCACAACAAATTTACTTTCTGGATTAAAATAACAATGGATAACAAAAGATAGATTAACATTGTAAACAACATAAACAATAGTGTCCCATGATTCTTTGGTGCAATCCTTGGGATTGGGCGGTTCCCCTTTAAGGTAGCGAGAAGGTTTTGTGACGTTTTTGTAAAAGCGGAAGGTTGGGCGAAATGAGTACTGTATCATCATGTTTCTCCGACGAAGTCTCGACTGACAATAATGCTGACAATGGACGTTAGATAAACAGGCATTGTTTGCAACTGGAAGCTTATCACCCGTTATATCAGAATCGTCAACAACAGAGTATACAGATAAGATGTTATCATTTAATTCCTTCCAAAGATAAACACTATGCAAATATCCACGAAACGGCAGTTGTAGTCTTTTCTGCTAGTGTTTTAAAACACAAATTTGAGCAACGTTATTTCGCAATTTCGATCTTTTGTAAACCTGGGGTGATGTATCAAGGTCTAAAGTAACCGTTTTATCAATTTTTGAAAAATCAAGAAAAAAGTGAAAATTTCCCTTCTCGCTACCTTAAGGGAAGGAAGGATTGTACTTTGGTGTTGAGGAAGGAGACATTGTTTGTAAAGGGAGTTATGAAAGAATGGGTGATGATGCCATACTTTGGTAATGACAGGTAGTGTGTTTTGTCAATTTAAATAACACTGGGAAAGTGTCCCACAATTTACAACGGGTGTGTGGCATTACCCTTCCCAGATTGACAAACACTTCGTACTTGTTCCAGTATATTGCCTCTGCGCTACTGTCAGTGTACTGTGCTTGTACATGCAATACCTTCTTCAGAACTTTCGTCCGCAGTCGGTCGGTATTATCGTGGAGCTCCATGGTGGCGACAGTGTGCTGGCGTGCATACAGTACATAAATCATATACACGTCGACGTTATTATGCTACCAGCTGACTGTGTCCTAATCGGGACGATACCAGTGCTGGTTTATTTTTGCAGCAACTTGAAATCACATCAAAATACAAGTTAAAATATTACATGCATATTACTAGTATGGAATCTCCAAGAAGGATACATAGACACAGAGGTGACATTGACTACGAGTATTCTGAGGTCATTCCAGCCTTTGACCCGGAAGTATCACTCCTCAGTTGCAATACTTTTAGATCCAAACATGGCGTCCGCAAAGTAGGAAACGTGAAACGTCCGGCTTTTATTCTCTTGTTAATGACGGGAGGACCATGATATTGCCACACTAGACACAACAAGACAGAAACAACAACACAACACAAAAGATGTCTATGAGAGAAATTAAACTCTGTCTTCTTGGGGTAATGTATACATTTTAATTTTAGACGCGATAAGTGAGTTAATTGATATGTTATTTGAATAAACGATTAACGTAACACTTTAGGAAGTAATAATATTTCTCAGGTGAAAATACGCTAACGTGAGAAGGAGTGAATGTTGCTGTCCTACGGAGCATCTATTGCCCGTATATCATGATGTACAGTTCCAATTTACATTGCTATGTAAAAAGTAATGTTGTGTGGGTAACCTTGAGTTGAAATCGACTGACGTTTGTAGTATTATTGACCTAAAAGGTTTCTGTTTGTCTTCCATTTTATAGCACTGGGAAGACAGGTGAGACTGACACAGTGAAGGGTTGCCATTTGTGAATGGTCGCGCGTTGTGTTAAATTATCAATGTTAGTTTTAAAACTTGTACGAGTTAAACATGAACAATGTGCACTGTTGTTCGTCGCCAGTAACAGTACATTCTTGTGGTGTGACATCATGTTCTCCGAGGTGTCAGCAAAGAGCATAATTTTTTTCCGAATGCCTGCAAATCGAAATGAAAATATTCATGGATTATCATTTCATAGTTATCTATTTCAATTACTAATTTGAAGTCTATTTCAATCTTTCAGGATTCAGGGGTTGGCAAATCAAGTCTTGTTCAACGATTTGTTTCAGATACTTTTAACACTCATTCACAGCCCACAATAGGGTGAGTATTTCAAGTGTACTGCTAACATTTGCAAACCATTTTACTGCCAGATATTTTCGTGACATAATTATGAGTGCATTCAGGAAATCTGTATTCAAATTCACAATTAGTCACATTCTCCACATTATATTCTTTAATGCAACGATGAGATATTCTTTATTACAACCTTAAATAAACAGTACATTTCTAGTTTGGTGTACCAGTATATAATAATGTAATAAAATTATTAATATTAATCCAACATACTGTTGTTGATAGCGCATATGCAGATAAAAAAAAAAACAGGGCTGCTGCCTGCTGAAGTAAAAAAATGCGTAAAAGGGGTTTTATTTAGTTATTTGACGTGTATACTCATATATAGTGTGAAAAAAAGAATCTCATGTATTCATGTTACCTCTGAAATACTGAAAGTTAAAAAACGTCTTTTCAATACCCGGAATAATAAGAAAAGCAAAATAGTGAAATTGTGTCAGATAATGCATTAGACATTGTTACTGCTTATGCACTACTGTGTTCAACTATATCTAAGCTTTCAGATGATATATAGGTTGTTAAAGGAGCATGCTTAGTATATTTTTAGAGAATGTTGAAATACAAAATTTTAACTTGTTTTCCCCAGTTGCTACATTAATCATTATCATTCTGTAAAAATGGCTTTGTGATGGTATGTTCTATTTCAGAGCTTCTTTTATGTCTAAAACATTGGTTGTTGATGACCAGTCTTATAAATTTCAAATATGGGACACAGCAGGGCAAGAAAAAGTAAGTAGATGTAAAATATATTACACTATTAGAATTGATACATTCGTCAAAATATGTACAGACCTATTTGAATGTGTTATGATTACCTTCCTTATTTGGAAAATCTATGTAACATGTACTGGTACTTCACATGAAATTCACATTTGAACACTTTGTTTTGTATAAACATTAAATGTATTAACAATGTAACATATGACTGAAATGAAATCTTGTCTCTGAACTCTGATCTAACAGAAATGAATATCATGAAATGTTTTTTTTTGCTGCCATTTCTTTCTGTTGTATGACTCAGTTATGACTACAATGTGTTATGTGGTATTGAGATTATCAACTGACAAAATTGTTGTATAACTTTGCTGTATCCTCGTAATAAATAGATTTATTTGATTTTTTTAACTGAGAAAATAGAAACTAATATACTGCTAGTTGTTTTATGCTTATAAGATAATCTGATGTAAATTGTTCAACACCGCGGTACCATTTCAAAACCATGACTTAGAACAAAAAAACCAGGGTGACTTTTTATCAGTTTGTTTGTGTTTGATTTTCAGTATCGCGGTTTAGCTCCTATGTATTACAGGGGTGCTGCAGCAGCAATCATCGTCTATGACATCACAAGAGAGGTTAGTCCTTACCATCTGTACCCAGTGTAATAATCATCATTCTTTGATTTTGAGAATTGTTTCACTTGTATTCAGAGAATTACTGTGTTACTAAATGACTGAAATCAGTGCTTATTAGTGAAAATCTATTGTTTTCAGATTCCATATTTTATTTTTTTCCATTTTTTGCACGTATAATTAAATATGAAAGGCAAAGGTATATTAAGGGGAAAATGTCTGACGTCGTTGTTGTCGTTAATAATTGTTAATGCGTGCACAATAACTTTACTAATTCTATTCCAAATGTTATCAAAATTGGTCACCTAATTCATCTGTATAAAATCATCCCTTAGTTTGAATGACAGATGTCCTGTATGAAAATAGTATGCAAAAATTGAGAAAGTAGTCGTCAAAATCTGATAAAAACTGTTGACTGTTTCTACTTGACTGATTACTGGTGATACACATCTTATCTTGGTAATGTATCTCCCAAATCCCATGGGAATACTACACAGGGTTCCAATCAACTCATGGAGAGGATTGTCGCACAGTCTAATACACATTTGCAAACATACAAAATAAAATGAATGATCTATTTCAATCAGAAAACAGATAATCGATATAACCACTCCATTGAGTAATCCTTTGCTGCAAAAATGTTGATCAGGATCTAAAGCTAATAGAAGATTATGTCTGTTTAGTCCAAAGTTACCAAAACAAAAATAATGCCCTCTCTATCTGTTCAAATTTACATTCTATACTTGATGTGCTGCACCCCAGTTGAATGCAGCTTGACATATATTTGTGCTTCAAGACTGAATTAATGAAAACCAAATCCTTTGCAAATTTTGTAGCTATACCTGAAATTTTTTCTTCAAAAAGTATATCAAAATATCATTCACCTTGTAGTTCAGAGAGAAACATAAAAATATAGTCTGCTCTCAATTTTTGTCGTGAAGCCTTCAATATGAGCCATGAATTATACCATCTTGCATGCAGATACACTGCCTTCAATATGTGCTTGAATTATATCCCTCACACAGAGATATGTTAATTTTATGTCCCCAACATGTGTAATTATTCTGCTCCCAATATGAATTATTATATACCCCCTTTCCAAACAGATTTTTTGCTCCCAATGTGTGATGTGAATTATACTTCCTCACAGACTATGAATAATAATTCCCTTGTAAAGAGATATTTTGGCTACAACATATGCCATGGATCATACCCCCTCACATGTATTCTGTTCCCAATATGTGCTATGAATGAATACAACAATGCATACAACTACAATATTTTGTCCTGTTCAGCCAACTAGAAATTATGTCCTTATTAAAAATAATTAAACAAATTGGTCACCAATGTTTTTGTAAGATATTCACATCAGTCAAGAACTTTTGGTAGACTGTTTTACCACTACTAAATCTTGTTTATATTCAAAATTAATTATGACAATGCATATTCATATTTCAACAAATTATGATAAAGAAATAATATTATATTATTAACAAAGGGCAAGGTCACCAGAGTTAAACTTTGTTTTATTTCTACAGTCTTCCTTCTCTGCTGTTAAGATGTGGGTCAGAGAACTAGAACAGTATGGTCCTGGAGATGTAGTGCTGGCCATAGCCGGCAACAAAGCAGATCTGGTTGACCAAAGAGAGGTTACTTATGATGAAGCCCATAAATATGCAGACCAGATTAATGCCACGTTTGTGGAAACCAGTGCAAAAACTGCAGTCAACGTTACTCAGTTATTTACAGCCATTAGTAAGTTGTTTTGTGATGTAAATTTGTGATTTTCATTTTTTTTTTATATTTGAAGAGACACTGTGAATTTGCACCACATCGAATGTTTACAGTAAGCAAGTAAATTGTAAAAAAGTATGTGCTCGGTCATAGTAAAGGATTTTTTGACGATGAGAAATGTTTGTGTAGTGCACACATGATATAGGAAAAGAGCAACCTGAGAACAGAAGGAGAATATTTGAACTGTAAAATGTAGATGTTTGCAGTAGTAATGACAATACCACTTTAAAGGTCAAACCAACGTCCATATATATATACATATATTCTGGCAATTGGAACTATGAAATCAGGTCTTGTGCATCCCTTCAACATGATATCCTCCATACAGCTGATACAAAAAACAAGATATGATTGTTTACATTTAACAACATAATAATGGAATCAATAAACCTAGGTTTGGATATTGATATTTGAATGTGTTGCTGATACTTTACTGGTTCTTGTTTGTCTGAACCTTAAATGTGCCTGATATGCTTATACGTGTACCATCACACTATTCAAGATGGCCGACTGGCGACCATTTTACTAGCAAGAATGACCAAAATCATTCACTTGTAGGTTTCCTGAACTGCTTCTCATTGTATGTCAATGTCTAAATCAAAAAATTTAATTAATCTTTTATTCAAAAAATAATTACTATTAATAACTACTTGTAGTCTAAAAACAGAAAAACAAACACAGTAATAGTCTATTATAAAATTGATCTAAATTTGATTAATAGTTTGTAGACTTTATGGTTTATTTCGCTGTTATTTTGGTGGTCATAAACACACCCAAACTATGCCATGTCACCATTATTTTAGTATTACAGAAATGAGAACCCTATAAATAGTAAGGTCACCAGGAAGTACAAAGTCCTTTAAGGAAGTAATTGATTTAAATATGATAACAGTTGAATGTACTAAGACAAATGGGGAACATGAAACTGTACGTTGCTGAGCTATAATGTCATCATAATTTTGTGACAATGGTTGTTTTAGAGATTTGTACAAGTTGTTCAAGTCAAATTAAAGTTCTGTACTACTGAGCATGTTACTGCACATATTCAATGCATATTGGGAAAGAACTTCTCATTGTATATAATGGAAAACTATTATCACCCTGGAAACTCACTAAATTATATGTCAATTTTTAAAATGTTTTCACAATATTAGGATTCATTTCAATAATAATAATATACGCTTTTTTTACCTTTGTCACCAAGGCAAATTATGAGATGTGAAAAAATCATCGCATCGTAAAACTATTGTAAAAATGCCAATTTTGCTCATTTTTTATTCTATTGTGTCTCTAAAAATCCACAAGTGATCAGATCACCTCCACCCACCCCCAATTCTTAGCTTCTCTGTCGACTTCGTCAAGCGGAGCTTATCATATGAGTAATTGTTCATCGCCATCCATCATCCGTCGTCAATGTTTTACTTTTTCGACTTCTTATTGAAAACTACAAGCCTGAATGCTTTGATACTTGGTGTATATGTACCTTGGGTAGGCCTTTCTTAGATTTGCAATTCTTCTAATTTTGATGAATATTTTTGTAATTTTTGGTGAAAAGTGATATTTTTGAATTCTTGTTGAAAACAGCAGGTCTGATAGCTTTGATACTATACATACCGGGTATTGTTCATTTTCTAATGATATCTTCAGTTCTTTAATTGAGCTATCTCAGCCGACAGGCTGCTTGTTTTGTATTGTGATATGAACCCATAGTAACCAAAGTATTATGAAAATAACGTATAATCTTCGATTCAGCTTGAACCTTCTTACTTAATGTTTAAATATGCTTGTAATTTAATTTTAAAGTTTGTAGTCAAATAAATAAATAAATCAAAACTTTTCTTTCTTTTTTTTTCATACAGCAAGGAAACTTCCAGCTGAAATTATAGTTTCAACCCATAATACAGTAAGGCCGACCCGAGCACCGCAGAAATCAGAAAAAAGCAAATGTTGTCGAAGTTAGAATACAGTCTCTTATGATAAGTAATATATTCAAAAATGCATGTTTTAATAGTGAATTAGGCATGTAAGTTGTATTTTGTTTTTAACATATATGAATATATAGCAGGGTAGATGTCAAGCGCTTTTAGTGTGCACCTTGATAATCTTTTACTCAATTTGTTGCAGTCCAAGTGTAAGTCTTTTTTGTTTATGGTGATTAGAACATTCACGTTACACTTATGTCTATATTGTATATTTTTTGATATAAGGATAAACATTTATTAAAATGTTTGAGTGTTTATAGAACTCATATGCAAACAGTATCTATACACCTGTTTGATTTGACATATCACCATTGCATCCAGTCATTTGGCACTATACAAAGGTATTATTGACTCAGTAGTTTGGTATTTGTATTATTAAAAGCACGTCTGCATTAGATGTGTACATAAACCAAAAATAGAGTTCTTGATACAATACAATTGACTTTTTTTCAGTTGCATTTAATGAGGTTTTTCATAGAATGCATCTTTCTTCACTGTCTTGTTCATATCTTATATCACTAAAATGGTCCCCCTAATATCTATCATTATTTGACATTTGAGTGTTTGATTTAAAACGACAACTGAAAGTTGTTGCAGTCCATTCGTATGCACCTAAAAAGCCAAATTGCTGACACACATCGTAAACCCACAGTATATTACTTGTCTACATTCAGGTAAAAAATAATTTTTTGTATGGCAATCTCAAGTGGGCCATTGTTTTTCAAAACGTTTTTTTGCATTCACTGTGAGATCTCCCATATTGCGTGAAAGACGTGGACAGAACATCTTCTGCTAAATGTCAAAATGCTAATTTTTTAGAGGTGAATATAACATTGAAATATCATTACTTCATCAAAATTGACCATCAAATATGTATAGCACATTATTAATCATAAAATACT